CCTAGGTTGTATTAAAAATACCTTTTATTTTTTTGACAAGAAATACTTATTGTGTTATCTTTTTTTTTTTTTACAAGAAAAATATAATACTTGTTGATTATCTTTGTTTTTTTTTTTGACAAAAGAATAAGATGTACTACATTTTTTTTTTTGCTTGTTGTATTACTTTTTATTTTTTTTACAAGAAAAATAAAAAAATGATGCTGCCAAAGTACATTTTATTTTTTTATGCTTTTTGTTTTATTTTTTTTGCAAAAAATACTTGTTATATTACCTTGTATTTTTTTTACAAGAAAAAAAAATATATATTGTATTATATTTTTTATCTTTATCTTGAAAAGCCTTTTATTTTATCTTTTTTCTTTTTTTTTACAACAGTATTTTTTGCCATTGTTTATTTTTTTGACAACAAATTGTATTTTTTTTACAAGAAAAATAAAAAAATGTTGCATTATTTTTTTTATCTTTATCTTGAAAAGCCTTTTATTTTATATTTTTTTTATTTTTTTACAACAATATTTTCTGCCTTTGTTTTTTTTTTTTTGACAACAAAATTTTTTTTGTATTTTTTGGTATTGCGCTAAGGGGTTCGAACTCAAAAAAATAAAAAAAAAATTGTTGTGCGATAAGGGGTTCAAACTCAAAATATTTTTAGGTGTTCACTGTGGGGTTCGAACTCAAGTCATACACCCAAAAATCAATATTATTGACCAACATGGCCACATCATTGCATGTGATTTTACTAATATTTATAATAATATATATTCAATCATCTTGCTTTAATGTTTTTTTTGGGAACTATCTCACATTGAAGGTTGAGTATTGCTTGGATCTCTATAAAGTCATATATAATAGATATTTTATTGTGTGTGTAGAAACGTGTGGGATGCAAACGTGAGGTGCCGCACAAGAATCGGGCTAAACCGGGTAGAACCGGGTTCGAAACGGTAGTTCTTTTTTAGAACTGAGCGGTTTTCAATTTTTTGCTGGAACGGCCACAGCATGCGCCGATTCCCAAATCGTTCGACTCGCCGATTTTTAAAACACTGATTAAGAACATATAAGCTTTCACAAAAAATAAGTGGTCGTACAGCTTCCCCTCTTTTGAAGAAGTATATGGAAGTCTTCACGGATGTTTGTCGATGGTATTCTCTTGCACAAAAGATATTGAGGAGGTTTTGGAGTTAAATTTTAGTCAACTTTTATTTCACCATTTCTTTTTTGCATGAATCAAGGAGCCCATTATGGGAACGTACAATAATACCCTTAAAACAATCATTTTATGTCAAATAATAGCTTTTACATATGGGAAAAGTTTTAGAGTTATGTACGGACATGAAAACAAAAGAGAAAATATAAAAAGGTGTGGTTTCTATACGGTTGCAGCCTTAAACAATCCAATTAATGCGCATCTCCAAATTTTATCATATGTAATTTTTGTGTAAACAGTTACTGAGATCATCTGAAAATCTATTTTCATATCCAATTATAAAAAATTTAAACTCCAAAAATGATTAAAATCAAGTAGATCTACAAATACATGAAATCTTGAAAATTGACGGTCTAGATAATGTGTTGCAAGATGCACTATTTTTGGGACTCAAAATCATTTTTTTTTTAATAATCATACATCTCGATGTCGAGGTGATCAATTAGAGGGTTTTTCAACATTAAAACCACCTTTACCGATGGATTTTTGAGGTGCATCTTTAATTCTTCATTTTAAGGTTGCAACCTTATATAAACTTTTTCCAAATATAAAAATCTCATTTTTTTTATTTTTTTGCAAATATTACATGAAAGGTCTATCGATTTGCGTCTTATTTATTTTTTCCAATTTGCCCTTTGATGTGTTACCAGCATCAGACTGATTTTAAATTTCTTTTCTTTTTTTTTTCTCACTTCAAGACGAGTCCGATGTTTCGAATTTCATATCACTTAGTTCAGTAAGTGGTCCAACCAAGACCTCGAGCCGTTATAATGTGGCAATAGGTAATAGAACATTGAACCTCAGACTGCTTAAACCTTGCCGGTCCAATAGTTAGGACAGTGGATCAGCCACAACCTCACAAAAAAAATTTCAAAAAAAAAGAGAAAGAAATTTAAACTTCAGATATTAGTAATATCAGATTGAGGGACAAGCTGGGAAAAATAAAACATACGAGAGCCGACCGACCGTCCATGTAATATTTGCTAAAACATGGAGTTTTTATAATTTCCCTTATTTTCATGTCTGTACATAAATAACTCAAAAATTTATATAAAGTATCAACCTTATACTATAAAAATTTATGCCAAATATATGTTAAACATATCCCCTAAACCTGGCATGGTAACAAAAGTGTATCTGTATTATGAGCAAATTTCTTTTTAGTGAGAGTCTCAATCAAATTGTCCATGACTTGATTTAAAGTCCATATATACCTTACAAGGATTTCATTACCATGAACTACATCACACATCTCTTATATAATGATTATCAACTCCCACATATTTGTTCCCATATTGTATTGGATCATTTGATATCATAATAACACTTTGGTGATCACAAATCATCTTTGATTGCTTCTCTATTGAATACCCAGTTATTGAGAATGCATTTGATAACCATGGAACCGTTTCATCTTAAGCGAAATAGATTAATGCTCTGCTTCATTGCATGATTTAACAACAGTTGTTGGTTCCTCTCTTCTTCTTCTTTTTTCTTTTTTTTTTTTTTCTTTTTTTTTTTGGTAATTCAATGGGAACAGACAGCCCTACTTGTTTTTTCAAATAGCTTAGGAGTTGGTTTTTTTTTAAGTTAGTGGGGTGGTATCAATGGGAGAAGTAAGTTTTTTTTTAAAGTATTAGTGGGGTGGTATTAGTGGGAATCTAAATGGTTATTATGTCAGTTCGAATAAAGATGAATAGTTTGGGAAGTCTAGGGAAATAGAGTATTCTTAGTGAAATAGTTATATTTCACTTTCTTCTTTTTTCCTATTTTTTCATGATAAGCACTGCTGAAGCATGATGAAGGCAGCTCCAAATTTAGAAATGGCCCATTCCTCATAAAGGCGTTTCTGTGGCCTGTGACTGTTGGTAAGAATCTTTAACAATAGATGCTCTTAGGAGGAGGGGACATATGATTGTTAACTGTTCTATTATATGCAAGCAAGATGAGGAAGATGGTGACCACTCTTTTCTTAAGCTGGTATTACATATGATAATTGAGTTGGGCTTGCTGCAAGATGGGTGGGAAATTAACATTCCCTAAACAGGCGTCAGATATTATTGATCATCTCAGTATTCCTTTGATACCTAAAGTCGGGATTCTCATTTCGAAACCTACGAGAGCAGCCGTGTTTATGAAATCCAGAAGGAAAGGAACATGAGAGCGTCTTATGGGGTGGTTATGGACTTGGGAAAGATCAAAACCAAGATTTTGAGCATAATGATAAATTGAATGATCATAAAAAAAGGAATATATTGCCTTCTTGAGGTCTGATTTTATCTGCAACCTAGAAGAAGTGAGTATAAGACCAAAGAGAGGAATATAAATTGCATGATGTATCATTAAGTTAAACTTCGATGGAAGCTCATATGCTAATCCGAACCCGGAAGAGTTGACTAAAGATCATGAGGATAATTTGCTAGCTTCCTTCTCTGGTCCTTGTGGGTTATGCACAGCTAATGATGGCTGGTTTACAGGTTTAAAAATCATTGAACCTCAACAATGGGGTTGCGTTGTCATTGCGGCTTGTGATTCCTTAAATGCCACAAACTGGTGCACCAACGTGTAGAGGATCTCATGGAAGTTGAGGTGGTTTTCGTTTTAAATTTAGGATATATGCTGCAGAGTGGAGGTTCTACTTGTGATGCTTATAGAGAAATAAATATAGAGGTTTAATAAGAAACTTGTAAAGTTTATCAAAAAAAAAAAAGCCAAAAAGCTTAAGCTTGGCTGAGCTTATTGACAGAAGTTTCAAAAACTTATATCGACCCAAATGCAACTTTGCCGGGTCCAATTTTTGGACCCATACCAAGACCTGAATCGGTTCTACCCCTCGGGTCCCGGGTCCATTGCCACCCCTAAATAGATGAGACCTCTTCATTATTCAAAAGGGTACTTCCTCTCAACTCATCCGAGGAAGCATGATCCAGAAGAGAGAGAGAGAGAGAGAGAGAGAGAGAGAGAGAACCTTTATGAGCTCCACTAATAACTGACCAGAAGGACGAGAAAGGCACATCCCAAATATACAGCAGTGAAGAATCAATTCAGTCTTTGAATTGATCACAATGAAGTATGCAAATCCAATCCCACAGTAACCATAGGGCAAATTTCTGAGAATGGATTCTCCAATGCAATCATCTAATATTTAATGGATTCTCTCTCTCTCTCTCTCTCTCCCCCCCCCCTGCCCCAAAAAATAAAACAAACCACAAGCCAAAAGAGACCCATCAGATATATTCAATCAACAAATGAATTAAAACAACCTATGTTTCCTAAAAACTAAGAAAATAAAGAAAATGAAGAATTCCTCTTCCATAAGATTTACATAAACATAAAAATCTCTGGCATTTCTGCTGATCCAAATCAGTGCTGACACCGTGTGTGGGGGCTATTTACAGATAGGCTCATTGTTTACAGCTACTTGCTTCAGAATTGCTCGTGTCGGTTGATTACACGGGTACTCTCTTGGTTCTGAAACGATCCAAGAACTACAGAAAATAACAGGCAACATTACTGACCTTGGAGAGAGAAACATCAATTTCCATATAAATAAAGCATCAAAGAAAGATTTCTTACTGATGCCACAAATGGCTGCTGGAAAATCCAACCCAGAATAGGTATACGTTGTACGAATACTGCCACTGTGGGCCAAAAACCACTGTCAAGAGAAGCCAGAGAGAGAGAGAATAAGTCATAGGTATACGTTGTACGAATACTGCCACTGTGGGCCAAAAACCACTGTCAAGAGAAGCCAGAGAGAGAGAGAATAAGTCAGGCATTGTTATTTTGGGGAAAGGGAAATCAGCAAGAAAAGTCATCTCTTATCCACAATTCAAGGGGGGTGCGGGAGCTCATAGATGAAACCAATGCAACAAGTTTCCATTAGTCCCAACTCTCTCTCTCACACACACACACAGAGACACACACAGGGCCCGCATGCACACGTAAACACACATGTGGAGAGCACGTTAGAAAAGCTATTTTTATGGGTTTCATTACTGTTCTTCCATATAATTCCTTCTGGGTCCTCTGTTTGCTGCAAATCCAGAAAAATTGAACAATTTCCTAACAATAAGAAGAAAAGGACGACCTTTTTGCCAACTCCCAATGAAAATTAAAAGAATTGTCTAGAAAAGGTCTGTAACAGTAATCAAATGCTATGGACCTGAAGAGTACAATAAAACCGTATGCTTCAAGAATCATGCCCAAGAAAGCCCATCCGATAAGGACCAAAAAGAAACCCACACCAAATGCTACTGAACCCTGCCACCACAAGAATTAGAGGGAGAAAGATGAAGATAAAAAGGCATAATCAAGTTTATTTTATCACCAACAACGGTGATTATAAGGGAATGCATACCATGATCCAATGAAGTACAGAAAAAAAGTGATCTATTGAGATGATAATTGTCCATTGAAACAATGGATTGTGATGGAGAGAGTGACACCAACACAGAACAGGACATTACCGATAGGTAAGTCCCACTGTCACTTGACTGTTCATCATTTAATCAAAGAATAATGACTCTAATGGACAGTGGTCTTCCATAGTCCATTGGATAATGGTATACCATCTAACAATAATAATAGGGCAGGCTTTCTATGGGTCCCCATATGTAAATAATTTATGTGTTCGAGATTGACAACAGTTCGATTTTGATCAGACGGATGTTAGCAAACTGGGAAAAGTGTCACATACAGCTTCAGCTGTTATCACAGAACAATTTATGTCAAGATCGGATGGTTGTCAATCTCTAGCACATATAAATTCTATGCAAATGGAGACCCATAGAAAGGTTCCTTATAGTAATAACTCAAAAGTATGCTTCCTCATAGTTATAACTTAAGTATACTATTTACCCCAAGAAAAAACTCAAGTACACTATAATCCAGTGAACTCCAGAAAAGCCACTGCCCATTCAATCATCTTCATACGACAAATGATGCATGGTGATGCAAAGAGTAGGAAAGCCCAGGAATCACAATGTGTTCTGGTGGGTGCCTCCCCACCATCACGTCTATCATTTCACTGGACGGTGATGACCCAATGGACTAAGTATTTTTCATAGTCCATTAGATTATAGTATATGCCCCCTCGTAACAACAACAATGGTAAAGATGATGAAGATGATAATGATATTAAGAAGAAAATAAGAAAGAAGCATCACTGAGTAAGTGGTCAAGTTATTATGGTTCAACCTTGTAATTTCGGGGTTTTGTAAAGAATTGCATGGTGGATTTCAATCCGATGGTTACCATCACCCCTGACAAGAAGAGGATCTGGTAAGTGTCAACAGATAAAATGATGGTTAATTATGCAGAGGCAAAAAATATGGTCAGAACAAGGAGCATAGCAAACTAGTTGAACCAGGGTGAAGCTTTTTACTTACATTTCCCATAGCAAGAAGACCCTTATCAAAGAAGAAAATAATTCCCAAGAATGAGAATAAAACGCCAAAGCCAGTCAATCCCAGTCCAATTTCTGTTATACAAAAATTAAAAATTATTGCTCCATAAATTTAATGTTAATTCCCAAAATTTAAAAATAATTCCAACCAATGATTTTATTCACGAACTCAATTTGCAAGTAATCTCAGAAGCCAGAAACAAGAACTCCCATTTGACTTCTTCAAAGTGACAACATGTAGAAGAAAGGATTATTCACTCGTACACACACACACACACACAAAAAAAAGAAAAAAAGAGACAAGAGATTCGTGAAGAACAAGAAAACAACACATTTATCATAGAGAGTAAATGAACTTAATGATTGTACCAAGATTTCTCAGAGCCTAACAAATAATACTTCTCAGGAGATCTCACTGGCCAGAATCCTTTGCAAGTTATCAGAACTATGGCCTACACTAACCAAACCTTTAGCAATTTAATCATTATATGATTCTAGAGTTTCCAACTCTTTGCAAACCATCCTCCACCGAACAATGGCTCATCGAATCCAATTAGCTCCCAATACTTATATCAATACTTCAATTAGTTCCCAAAGGAAGTTGAAGATAAATTACAATAAAAGCGTGTTTTCTCCCAGTGCAAATTAGAAACCAAGTTCTCATATTTTCTTCAGTTCTATGACCACCTTTCTTTCCTACCATCAACTACCGAAAAAGAAATATGTCAGCTTTTAAGATTTCTCCACAGGATGGGTTACGGGTGGATGAAACACAGCATATAGATACAATTTTAAGAGCATTAGTGAGAGTATTCGGAGAACATAGATTAAATCCACCATCCATTTCCATCTGATGGATGATTGCTCATCAAATGTACCTCAGTGAATGTCCCTGCACACCCCCACTAATATTAATCTGAACCATCCATCAGTGGATCAGATGATGGATGTAGCTGTGGAATGCAGTTTTCTGTTTCCATTAGATTATAGCATACTGGAACCCAACAAAGCAAATACCATTCTAACAAAATGTTCAGTGCTTTAGTGCACTATCTAGGTTGCCCAGCTACCCAAGTTCTCTTTATGCTAAATCTGAAACGATTTTCAAGATAATAGGGGCTATCCTTAGTGGGTTAACCCTCTAAAGCCCCAACCAGGAACTAGGCTGGTATAGAGAGAGAATTGATCTTCCATGAGCAACATTCCCACTCCCGAAACATATATTACCTCGGAAAGTCCTCATAGATTATGTTAATGTTTTCAAATAGTAGCCCCAGGAAAGAGAAGACAGGATACCATATCAAAGAAAGAAATTACATATCGTCATATAGTTTGTTGTGGCCAAAACACTTCTTCTATGAGAAGTCCAACTGCACAAGTAATCCAATAGGCTCCCAAAGGATGGTCACATAAAGGGTTCAGGCCTCCCAATTAGAGTCTCATACTAATTTCAAAATGGTTGTCTTTTCATCTAGAGAAGGATGCAAGTCGGTTTTCCAAACCACTAAGGGGCATCAATTTAGGAATGGGAAAGTATAGTACAACCCACTGGAATGTGAGCATACCATGGTCCACCAGATTATAGTACACTTTAAAAGAGGGCCATGTAGGGATCTAACTGGGTACACTTTTTAAAAAAATTCACTAAGTGCCTGATTGGCTTACTTACAAAGCCCTTTCACAACAAATTTGCAGCAGAATATATCGAAAACATGGCCACAATCCCAAAATACAATAGGGTTTAGGCAACCCGTGGTTGAGTGTAGATGAACACTAAATCAAATACAGAAGCTCATGAATCAATTGCGCAAAATGTTGACCATACATTAGTTCAATTTTATTACAAGGCACAATTTTTTTGAGAAAGGATTACTTGTATTAAGACTGAGTAAATATGCAAAACAGGACCCCATTGACAGTGTCAAATGACATCGTGAAAAGAAAGACGATACAAAATTCTGTGCAATCTCATTCTGAAATCTCATTCTGAAAAATCGAGACTCTTAACTGTGTACCAATGTTCAAGAAGGAGGAGGCGGCTAGGCACCCAGACCCAAAGGCGACCAGTGTTTTTTAAAAAAACAAAATTGGATCCCCCACTCCTCCCCCCATTTTATTGTATATAGAAATGTCTGCTTTTTTATTTAACAAGTTAGTTTTGTTTATAATATATTGTTAAGATGCCAGAAACAGGAAGCACATATCAAACATAAACATTTACGACTTTAGATTGTAAATGACATAATTATAACTCAAAAGCAACATTAAAAGTTTCAAAAGTCATATCAGATCATTAAGAAATTATTAAACTAACTAATAAAATAAAAATGGTTTATGAATCATACAAGTAAATTCATGTATAAAACTAAAAAAAGAAGTAACAAACAATATTCATTTGGTTTGGGGACATTTTTATTAAATTGCTTTCCCAAAGGCCCAAACTACATATCCAAATGGGAAAATAATAATCCAAATACACAATAACATATTAAATATAGATTGCAAAGTATAAAAAAAAAATACATATAGAAAATAATAACATCATTAGACATTTAGGGGGAAAAAATACAAAACCTAATGAAAACTATTGAAATATACCAACCTTCTTGAAGTGCACTCAATTTCGGGTCAAACCAAAATGTTTGGGATCCCAAATCTCCTCTTTTACAACCCTTTTAAGCCTCAAAAAGATTGGAGATGAATATCCTTTAATATCATGAACATTCGAGGATTTTGAACAAAAATTCGATCTCTCAAAAAATCTTCAAATCTTAGTTTTTTTTAAGTTTTTTCTCACTCTAAAGTTTACTAAATTTGTTTTTGGGGGCAAGAATGGCCCCCTAAACCCTTATCCCCCCTTTTAAAGGGGTAAAATTACATTTTTTGCCCTAGACCACCCCTAGGCGTTTTTCCAGAAAAGCCGCTTAGGCGGTCGGGCAGCCGACTTTTCATTCATTGCTGTGTGCAAAAAGGATGAGAACTGTGGACCAATCTCAGATTACGCTGCCGCTCCTTCTTTGGCAAGGGCGTCGACCTAGGAATTGGACTCTCTCCAGATGTGATGCCATGAAACATGAAATTGGCTCGTAATATCAAAGATTTCTTCGAAAATATGGGCCAATCTCCAAGGAGGACAGGCAGAGCCCGAGGCCCACGCAATGATGGACTTGGAGTCTCCTTCAATGACAATTTGATTGCCCCACTCAGATCTAAAAACCTTCAAACATTCCAGAAAAGCGCTGGCCTCCGCAGAGGTGCTATCGTGATGACCAATGTGCTTGGAGAGAGAGCAAATTGTGAGGCCAGAGTGATCTCTGAAAAGGCCTCCAACTCCAGCAGGGCCAGCGTTACCTTGCGAACAACCATTGAAGCTTAATCTGATCCAGCCGAGCTCTGGGAGCCTCCAAAGCGAAGCTCAGGCCACCCTCGGGGTGGTGGACTGGCATGACAGTTGCAAATTAAGCCAGAAGTCAGAAGTGGAGAAGGTTCGAAATTGTTTTTAATTTTTGGTCCAAAAAATGACCAAAGATGAAATTTTCTCCTTGAGCCTAACTGCTGAAGTGCTTTCAACTCTGAATATTTGGTGGTTTCTTTAGTTCCAGATGGACCACAAGGTGGCTGAGACTGTGGCCTTCCAAACATTGCTCGTGATTTAGGCCAAGGGAGGGACTGGGATAGGTTGAACATCAAACCTATGGAGCATCTTTGATAACCAGTTGAGCATTGCTCCCTCTCTCGGGTTCAGACAGACTCATTTCTCTACCGGTTATCAAAGGGAGGCAATGCTCAACCAGTTATCAAACCGGTTGAACAACACTTTGATCTAAGTGAAGCTCTTAATCGTACTCAACGCCCTGTGGCCGGCTATCAAAGATCATGCCATAAAGTGGAGCCAATTGCAGAAATATACCGCTTACATTATCAAACACTTTGGGTGCCAACTATTATGAACTATGGGTGACTTTAGATCAGAGACCTTAGGGCATGAACACTATCAACATAGTGTTCTCACTGAGCTAGAACAAAATCATATGATGAGGCAAGCTTATATGCAATATCTAGCATCACATCACAAGACAATGTGAAATTTATGAACATATTAAGTGTATCGCACCTCCACACTGAGTTCAGAAAATAATTAGCCCCAAAATGACTCAAATCCGTCAATCAAAATTTCAATTATCCAGCTGAAATACTTTTTATGGGTTTCAAATCAATTGGCTAAGCGAATACACAAAATACTAGCTCAAATTGAAAGAATATGCTGTATGAAAAATCAGGCACATGCTTATACATTTATGAGGCAATATCTCAGCCATTTTGATGTCACAATATCATCAAATTTTGCCTCACTTATTGTGAGCAGGGTATCGATAAGAAATCAGGTCTCAATGCAGCTGAATTTTGATGATCAAGAATGACCAGCGTGATGCATATAGAAGGTGAAAATTCAGCAGCGAATGGATGAAGATTTTATGCAACTCAGCTCCATATAAGATCAAAATAATCTATACCCATTGTTTGTTCATCTAATGAAGAAATTGAAGCAATTTGATCAAGAAATGGAGGTCTAATCAATCAAATATGTGGCTTATTTTTCTGATACAAAAATAGCAACACAGATTCGTAATGTTCAATGAATTTCACCACGAAAATTGAAGGAAAATTCTCTCAAGATCTAGCTCCAACTATGATGCATCAATTTTGTATGAAATCATGATCAAATCAAAGTCTAAATGAGGCTCAATCCATGGATTTTGGGACTGTTGTAGCAGATGAAAAATCAGCCATGAAATTTCAACTCTATGGAGCTAGATTTATGGAATTGTGCATCAATTTCAACAGAGAAAACTTCTAATGCTCAAATTCAATTTTAATGAAGCAAAAAAGAGGAAGACGTAGAGAATTTGAGGAAGAAGATGACTTTTCTTTGCTGAAATTAAAGATCCAATGGCTGCATAGAGATGCTGAGACCATGGAGCTTGGTCTTGGCTTGCAGTATGGCACCATCACATACCATGATCCCTTTGCCATGAGAGACCAACATTGGTGAAACCATACCAAGTTAGAGGCATTTTAAAATGTGGCCGTATCGCAGCATATGCGGCTGCATAATGCGCTATGCGCCCTGAAGCGCATTGCATAGGGGTGCATATACACTTTGGTGGGATGCGCTAGCATATGCGCCGCATCCCACCGCATATTTGGTCACATAGCGCATAGCGCATATGCACCGCACAGCTTGTGAGCGAAAATAGTGCCCACGAGTATGGGTGGGTATTTTTGTCATTTCTCCCCCTGGAAAGGGGGAGAAGGATTTTGGGGGGTATTAAACCCCTCCAAACACAAAAAAAAACAAAAAAAGTGGCTATTTTTGGGTCAAATGAAGAGGGAAAAAAATTAGCAGAAATTTTTTTTGAAAAAATTTGTTGATTTGCTCTAGGTGTTGTTGGGTTGTCAATTGGGATGATGAACCGTGACAACATGATCCTTCTCTATGGAACAAGGCACTGACTGACTGCATCAATCATCACTCAATGAGCTATTGCCACCAATAGCGCTTGCATGCAAGGCGGCTAAGCTAAGCCAGGTAGAGCTAGGCGAAGGAGATGCACGTGGTACTGGTGGTATTGGACAAGCTCTCAGTGAATAATCCTTATTTCTGCCTTTCTTTCCCAGGACGACTAGGAACGGGCAAATCAAAAATTTCACTTCGAATTTCGGACCTCAACATCCTGCTTCTCATGGTGTTTCACGACCAGTATTGGAAATGAAAGGAGAAGTGGTGGAACATGTGGAACCGCATATTGTTAGCTTGGGCATTGTTTTGAAGAAGTTCGCTAATATGAAGTCTTCTAAGTTCTAATGTCTTCTATAAAGCTAGTTTCAAATTTCTAGTTTCTACTTTCTATTTCTAATTTCTTCTATCAGGGGATTCAGAGTCTCCGACAACTGATAATATTGGAGTTAATGAATAAATTAGAGACCTACTGCCACATAAATCATCTCCATGTTTTTTCCATGCATTAACTTATTTTTTGAGACTTTTTGAAATTTTTTTATATTTATTGACAGCATCGGGGTGATGCTCTCGCATCTAGACCGCATCGCCGCATCAGCCCCCTGACCGCATCAGAACTGCATCAGGCATTTTAAAACACTGTTTAGAGGGCAGAAAAATGAAGACAAATTTGGAGTGTAGTTTCTAGAGAGAGTGGGCTCTTTAGGGTCTAGTGAGAAAGAGGGAAATTGAGTGTTTAAGTTTGAACTAATGTTCAAAAAGAGAGATTCGGCTGCCTAGGCGGCTTGGTCAAGTGCCCAGATACACGAAAGGCCTTAGAGTGTGGGGGAATGGCCCTAGAGTGTGGGGTGGTGGGGACGAGAGAGAGAGAGAGAGAGAGAGAGAGCTGTATATTGTCAATATATCAATATTTTAATACATTTGTGTTGTAGTTAATTGTACTATTATATTATATTAGTAACTTTGTACTTTGGTATTGATAGTCAACAAAATAATATTGTATTTGTACCATAGCATACCCACTTATTAATGATATATTGACATTTACAGCAATGACACACATATCGTAATATATTAAGGAAAATTGTCTCATGCGGGCTGGACCGCATAACTACATATGCCGTCAAAAAAGTGTAAAGCTTCCATCTTAAAGATGGATGCAAGTAGACGTTCCATCTAAAAAAAATGGAAACTAACGGTCCAAATGTTTTCTTACTAGAATTATTATTTTTAGTTTTTAAAATTTACTTATTTTTTCATATGCATGATCTCCATATTAGAGATTAAATATCCTTAAAAATTAAGTTAAAAAATCCATCTCAAAAATACATTTATTAATAGGCCTGCATTTCTACATATGCGGGCTTGGCCGCATAGAAACTGAGTCCATATATTAATATCTTAATACATTTGTACTGTAGTTAATAGTGTTGTTAGTATTATATTAATAACTTTGTATGTTAGTATTGATAGTCAATAGTTTATTGATATATTTGTTTCAATAAACTTGTACCATACTATCAACAATATATTATTTTTTTAAGAGACATCATTGACCCATGTAATCATAATATATTGACATCAATGCATGTAGCGATAATACATTAATGTATTTATATTATGGTACTATGACCATAAACAATATTATGAAATATAAATACTATACTTCATAAAAGTAGGAAGAAGGGAGAGCACCAAGGTAGAAGCCTTGGCCAAGGCGCCAGCCTAGAGGCACATCTGCCTAGGGTGCCTGCTTTGGGCAGCCCAAGCATTTATCTAGGCGGCCAGGTGGCCGGAATTTTGAACTATATTTTGAACCTAGGCACCCCCATTTATAGTCTATAGGTGAGAAGAACACAGTCTAGAAAGTTCTCATGGACATGCTTGTAGCAGGCAAGCTCAACCATTTATTTGTGAGGACCATTGATGTGAAGAGAATCAAAAGATTGGCCCAATCTTGGCCAAATCATCCAACCATGAGATGAGATGGATTCTATTCACAACATTATCCCATATTTCTTAAACCCTTTATCTTTAAATGGATTTATTACATCACCTAGGCAGGTGATGTGCGATATCATCAAATGACATCACCCTAACCACCTCATCTTATCCCCCCTAACTCCAACTTCTTCTAGATGCTCATGTGCACAAAAATGCACAATTCAATAGTATACATCGTAGAAAAAGAAGGGGGGGGAAAGAGCGAGAGAGAGAGAAAAATAGGATGACATCACCATGACATCACCACCTCTAGGCAGGAGCTTGGGCCAATGGGACCCACCCAATTGGGTCCCTCACTACCACATCATAAAAAGAAGATTTATCTATGAGAGCAATATTCTTTTCATGCTCAAATTTAACGAGTTGCAGTTTTCAATTTTATAAAGGCCCATCTCATAAACCTTAGGCAACATTGGCTGATCAGTATCTGCTGTCCTCAACATCTCTATAATTGTTTATGTGAATTTCAATAAATAATTGACCTTTACCCACCATGTAACAATACATTCCTTGATTCTCATGCCTTTCACCTTGTCAAATACATCCTTAAGAAAGTCATTGCTCTGACATTACCATCTCAACCAACGTAGGTCTAACTAACTTTGCTCGTCTCACCATGATAGTTGAAGATGCAAATCTCGTCTCCGCCACACAAAGAAATCGAAGACCTGAATACCATTTGAAAATGATTATAACCAATTGATGATTGAGACCAAAGTTTCTGATGGCTCTCACATTCTTGTCTATTTTTACTATCCACTTGAACTCCTCATTTCTCTCTCTACTTTCTGGTGTATCAGCTGGTGAGCACAAATTTTTCAGGCCAAATTTGAAGTTTGGACAACACATGGGGTCCAAAACATAAGGGGATGTCTAACTTCTAACATGACGCTTGATGATTTGCACACAGCTGTATTATCAATGATAACTTGTTCGACATTTTCAGGTCCAACTTCTTGGACTGCATCAATGAAAAGCTTGGGCATATACTAAGCATCCTTATACTTCCCAGATATCAATCGCTTTTAAAAAAAAGGGACCAGATTGATAAGAAGCCATAAAATTTATCAGCGGCCGCCTTTGAACGTCAGTCCAATCATCAGATACAATACTCACTCTCATAACAGTCCATGAATGTTTTATATTTTTCAATGACCTTTCAATATTGGCCTTTTCTTGACTAAGTGTTGTTCTCAGTTTATCATATGAAGGCAGATTGTACCCCTTAACTAATGAGCACTGTCACATGTATACTTGATTACTTGTCCACAATCCGGATGCATAAAACACGTGTGCAATCAGCTGATCTAGCTCTACTCTTGGTGCCAAATTAAAAGACCTCACAATCACACTATCCCTTTTCTTTTTCTTGGATTTACTTCTTCGTAATCCATAGGTAAGGGTATACTACTGATTCTAGTTGAAGCCTCAGCCATTTCCAACAAGAAATGCAAACTCATGACACTCACAGAAATCTAGGATCAAATCAGGCACTACAAACTTCTCTTATTTTCAGTAAAGCACTAAAATGCATAGGACCCAATACCAAGACCACGTTCTTTTGCTTTTCTTCTAAACCCACCGTGCCGAGCGCATAACACAAAACAGTCCATGCTTTTCAATTGAAGGCACTCCATTACATCATGAATAAAGTATTATAAGGTTTCAGGACATGATTGTCCCACCAGAGGTATGCAGAAAAACAATTATAATAGTTGCGACAAGTCAGTTAAATTGATCACTATATTAAACCAATGCAAATGATCAATGCTCTCTTTTCCAATATAAATTTTCAACATATCCAAGAACAGAAAGAAAACAGCAATCATATTAGGTGTTAAGACTCCATTGTTAACTAGGTGTTTGAGGAACAATAAAATCATTTCTTCAATGTTTCATTTTGTTTCCCTAAGTAAGCAGTATTATGGCATTTACCATGTACAGTCACAAAATAAATTATGAAAGTGAAACTAAAGAATAAAATAAAACTTACTTTTCCTGTCGTTCATCTCAAAAGAAACCATCTTGCTTGATAAGATGAAGCGGTAGCAGATCTGTGTACATAAAAACTAAATTAGAATGGTCAGAACAAGCCAAAAGCACAAAATTGACACTAGATAAAGTGCCTCTAAACAACAAGCTAAAAGGAATTAACCCATTCATACACTTGTACTCTCAGCCCCACAGCTCGTCATTTTATTTGTTATAACTCGGCAATATTCTAGCCAAAAAAAAGAACCTGGGTAATGCTGAGAATATCTTAATACTACTCTCATTCCACAAAAAAAAATTGGGACAACTCAAAATATGTTTTGGACTACACAAAATACCACGAGGGTAACCAGAAAGGAAGATGTCCATCAATTGAAGCATTGCCAAACACAACTACATAAATATGCTAAGCCATATAACACTATGTGACCTACTAGTTCAGGGGGAAACTTTCTATTTGGTGGCACAAGTAAATTATACGTCCCTAGGCACTCCAGCCATCTGATCTAAACAAGATGGCTGGGGAGTGCTCCTGTGACAATGTTGCAAGAAGTGCTTCGAAGGGGGGGGGGAAGAACCAGTTTCCAGCCAGTAACTGTTTTGCCATCCAAAACACCCAACCGAAACTAACTTCTGGTTAAAACCGCTAAAGCTAAAAAAACAAAAGGATAAAAAATCTTCAAAGTTTAGCATTCAAAACATTAAACGTTCCAAATTTAGCAAGACAGTTCTTGTGTGTACTAACAATCACTGATAAAAAGACCAGCAAACGCTGAAACAAAGGCTTTACTAAAATCCCTTTTCCATCTGTGAAATCACCAAAGGCGATTAAAGCATCAGCAAGGTACAATTTTCTTCATCAACTTCTTCTGCTCCAACCTTGCCTCCTCAAACCCTTGCCCCACCCCTCCCTCCCCGGCCCCCAAAACACCATGTATTCCTCTATTTTAGCCCTTAACCCTATTTATTCTTCATTGATAGCCTTCAAAACGTAGGTTTTTAGAGAAATGCTCCACATATATCCAATAAATTGTAACTTAATTAAAACTCCTAAATCTACCACAAATCCTGTCTTTCTTAACCGACCTCGTGTGTTACACTTGTGGAGAAACCAGGCCCCCTTGGTCCTATATCATATAATTCTCTCAAAACAGTGAGTTATAATTGGTTTCAACATCAATTTGAATCATAGCACTGTAAGTTAGATGCGTGATGCAACCAGCCATAAAAAAAAAATTAGCAAAACAGTCTTAACAAAAAATATTACCAGCAAATTTTTGTAATTTATATCTCTCCCAAATTGTTTGGGCTATTTCCATTTCAATTTAAATTTTTCCACAGATTCTATCATTCCATTCATCTTTTGCACTGTAATTATAATTTGGAGAACCAAAATTTTGAACAGATTCCAGAAAATGATAAAGATAAATGAGATAGGAGCCCTGACTAGGTTAATGGTCATAATTTCTCTGTTGTAAAGCTACACGATATTGGGGCTTCAGCACCATATTGAAAGTAAAATTACAGTGAAGTTTAGAAAATTGAACACTAATTGGATTACAGGAACAAGAAAACCCTTTGTGATTAGTTTTGCTGAAAACTTCTTGGGAAGTTGTACTAAAACATCAGGCTTATAAGCATGCACATAATGGTAACAAGACAACATGTGCATGTAGGATTACATGTGATGATAACACTTTAGAGCATTTGAGTTACACATACAATTGACTTCCCCTCTAAGAATGGATGCTCAATGGTTGAAGTCATACCAAGGGTAATTGGCAATCTACATTTTGTTCTTTGTGAAACTCATTCTTGGGAGACAATGAAGAAAGAAAGTAAGGGGCAACCTCTAGAACATATGCAATGCAAGTACTATCAAGACCAGCATAAAGCGCCAACCAAATGTGACAAAAATCACAAACCCAATCTGGGATTACTAGATATATCTAAGTAAATGAATTTAAAAAAACAAAGAAAATAAAAAGGAGATTATTCTTAGTAAATGTATGCATTGTCATTTTGTATAATGTATATCAGTAATTATCAAGAGATACATTCACATGCTACAAGCGGAACCTTAGAGGTATTTTCATCAAAAGACTGGGGATGTGCACAATGAATAGACTATTTCTACCTTTGCAAAATCTCAATCACAGAACCAACAACGGCATCACATGCAAACTTGAAAGCAATATCTTCTGCCTATCCTAAAGGAGGAAGAACAATGAACCTAATCACACTGCTCTACTCTGGTTAGTCATCAACTAAAAGGCCAATCCAAGCTGACTACGTAAATACATCTTTTTACATCAGGGAGGTTTTGATCTGTGAATGGTTTGTAATCAAGTCCATCTACTGGTGTTAGCTTGAGAATTCCCTGAGACGTGAGAACTGTGTGGACAAGATTTAGAATACCAAATAAGCAACGAATTTTAGATAACAAGAAACATTTGAGCCAACTATTCAAATATCAGGAGCTATCATGATAACATATATAACAGCTTCGAGAATCAATTGCAACACATTACTGTTACATTCATCCCATGCAAGGCAAAATAACTTATACTCAAACAAACTCTAGACTCAAATCCCATCACTGAAAACTCTGTAGGGGGGAAAATTCCAAAATAGAGAAACAGAAGATAAACAAGAGGAAGAATTGTGACCAGAACATGATCAATCATATAAAAAACAGAACCAACTATTCAAATATCAGGAGCTATCATGATAACATAAATAACGGCTTCGAGAATCAATTGCAACACATTACTGTTACATTCATCCCATGCAAGGCAAAAGAACTTATACTCAAACAAACTCTAGACTCAAATTCCATCACTGAAACCTCTGAAGGGGCAAACAATTCAGAAATAGAGAAACACAAGATAAACAAGAGGAAGAACTGTGAACGGAACATGATCAATCACATCGAAAACATAAATAAATAAATTAACACTGTGTTGCATTTGTTAGCAGCATTCTTCTTATTCTTGTGATGAGAATAACGTTTGTGAGCCATAGCTGAAGAAGTTACAGAGAAAAATCAACTAAATAACATGGTCAAATTGTGCAAAATCGAATAAATTGGATCAAAGAGAGAGGAAGGATACAAAGAACGAGAAACCATAAACACTCTACAAAATTTTGAACAATTCAATGAGAGAGAAAACCTTTCACTCTGGTCGGGGCAGTGGCGCTTGGTTTTCTCAGGGAAGCAAAGCGGAGCTTGATGTCAGGAAAGAAAATTTAGAGAGAGAAATGGTAAAACAGAGAAACAGAATATATAAATGGTGTAGAGAGAGATCGTGGGGATCAAGGAAGAAGGCAGGCAAATATAAGGGGAAAGTTGACGCAGGGAAGTTAACGTTTTCCACCGCCTATTTTCAATGGGAAAAGTTTATATAGAGCCTACCCCAAAATTTTCAATGTTGTTTTGATGCTCGAATATCTTCAAATTGATCATATCGAGATGCATAGACATCAGAAAAAAAGGTATTTCAAGTTTTTATAAATAATATATTTTTTAACATAATTTTGAACCATCAATTTTTTAGATTTTTAAACTTTCATAAATCTATCGATCTACCCTATTTTTTAAACTTTAAATTTTATAAATAAATATAAAAATATATTTTAAAGTTATCACAAAGATTTTTAATAATAAAACCACATTTCTCGATACTATTTGAAGGTAGGCTCTAATTTGATTGTTTAGAGCATAGGCTCTATACAAACCATACCCATTTTCAATTGGGTGCAGTTTATATAGGGCCGAGGCTCTAAACAATCCAATTATAGCCCAATTTGTATAGAGCCGAGGTTCTAAACAATCCAATTATAGCCCACCTTCAAATAGTATCAAGAAATATGGTTTTAATGCTGAAAATCTTAGAATGATAGCATTAAGATGCATTTTTCTCTTTAAATATAAAATTTAAAGCTTCAAACATATTGTAGATTGAGTCGAATTATGAAAACTTGAAAATCTTAAAAACCGACGGTCCAAAAATGAGTTACAAAATGCACTATTTTCAAATTTTGAAATCCACATGTCCATGCATCTTGATGTTGAAATGATCAATTTGATGATAATCGGGCATCAAAACAACCTCTTCAAGTGAAATTTTTAAGGTGGGCTCTAAAGCTTCGGCTCTATATAAACCTTTCACTTTTGATTTAGTAGAATTATATAGAGCCGAGGCTCTAAAAATCAAATTAGAGCCTGTCTCAAAACTTTCTCTGGAAGATGTTGTTTTGATGCTCAAATATCCTCAAATTGATCATCTCGACATCAAGATACATGGACATTAGAAAGAAATGGATTTCAAGTTTAAGAAATAGTCTATTTTGTAACGCATTTTTTGACCGTCAACTTTCAAGATTTTCAAGTTGTCATAGATCTGTCAATCGACACTATTTTTAAAGCTTTAAACATTATAAATAAAAAAAAAACATATATTTTAAGGCTATCACAAAATATTTTAGAATTGAAATCATATCCCTCGATACTATACTATTTGAAGGTAGGCTCTAATTTGATTGTTTAGAGCCTAAGCTCTATACAAACTGCACCCTTTCGATTTTGCAATGGAAGAATGAAAGACGTATTAAAATTAGATCCATGTGGTCACAACTACGTGGCGGCATGGAATGTCACCGTCAATGGTTGAATTAGAGGGTGATGGAGAGTGAAACAGACGTATCCATTAATAGACATATGCATTAATAAATGGAAAATTGTTTCATTCGGGCTGGACCGCATGACCACATACACGGTCTAAAAAGTGCGAAGCATCCATCTTAAAAATGGATGCAAGTAGGTGTTCCATCTAAAAACAATGAAAACTAATGGAACAAATGTTTTTTTATTGGAATTATTATTTTTAGCTTTTAAAATTTACTCATTTTTTTATATTCATGATCTTTATGTTAGAGATCACTTATCCTTCAAAATTAAGTCCAAAAATCCATCTCAAAAATAGATTTATTAATAGGCCTGCATTTCTACATATGCGGACTTGGCAGCATAGAAACCGGGTCTTTAATAAATTAATAAATTAAGGGAAAATGTCATTAGAGCATAACCCCTAGCAAAATCGCAGTCAAAATAACTCCATTAATTACAGGTTTTATTTTTTATTTTTTTTTAATTTAGCCTACAATAGTTTTAAACTCAAATTGTTCAAGATTAGAAATCCTAAGCAAAAAGGAGATTTTACCCACATAAATGGCCTCAACCAAGCAGCAGAAGCAACTTGTTTGCTCGGGATAAATCAAATTATTAAAATACATGATTTTATCATATACTTTTCCTATTATAAAGTATGAACTAATAAAAAATATATTTAAGGGCCAAAACCTCTCAAAAATAGGTGCAGTTGGCATAAGGATGCATCCGTAGCGGTAGAGGTAAGGTGCACC